TGTTTTGTGATGTGATGATAGATATCACATTACCTATTATATAAGGGTGGGCAACGAAACAAACAGGTTTTTTCCACTACTAGAGACTGTTTCCTATAACCAAACCTACTACTTGAACTAGTACCTTTTCTAGTACCAGCACGGGGAAACCCTGTACCTCAAACTAGTTCCTATTACCTGGCTAAAGCCCTAATATCCCGTTACTGTACAGGAGCGGAAACGAGAAAAGAAAAGCAGGTTTTAGATACTATACTAAAGAGACTCTAGTCCGAGACTTTAAACTATCAACCATGAGATCCTTACTAGAGCTCATGACGTAACTAGAACATAGCACGAAAAGATGGATACGTATAGAGACCGAATCGGATGGATAGGAGCTTGATTGTAGGGGATGCTGGGGCGGGTCAAAAGCTGAGAATTCTCTCTATCCAAGTGCAGCTACTGTTTGTGAAGCACCCTCCCGGAGTTCTGGTGAAAGCTATCCTTCTAGGGACCTCTCTTCTCTACCAACTTATGATGCTAGGTAAAAAAGCCACTAAACAGATCTTCATCATATCTATCAACAAATCCATTCGGTAGAAATGCAGTGAGGCGATCGACCAAAGACCCAGCTTATGAACCGGAAGGATAAGTTATGCTTCTCCGGCTCTTTCTGAACAGATATCTTAGGGAAAGAAATAGGAAATGATAGATCGAATCCTGCCATTCCAAACGCTACTTGAAAGCTCGACATCGAAAGGGAGGAATTCGATCTTCCGCTTCTCTTGTTAGTATTATTTGGAAGTCTATCTATAGCGAGCAAAGACTCCTTTTGGTCGAGGAAAGCGCTTTAACTGAACAAAATTTTTTTAGCTTGACTTTGATTACTTTTTTAGCCTATTTTATATAGAGTCTTTTTTATATTGCCTGTGCCAGTTTGCGCCTGCCACTCGTACTGAACTAACCAAAGAAGCAAGAGATACTGAAAGCGATTTACTTCTTGCCGTAGCTTCTATAAAAGTAAAAAAAATTCTTTCCAGAATTCACTACAGAGCTTTAAAATAAAACCGTTTTTCTTTCGTTAGCCCCTCTCTAATCTCTTTAACAAAGCTCGGTACTAAGAAAGCCCATAGATCGAAACTTATAACAGGTGAACCTCTCTCCGGATTCCTTTCCACCGAGACCTGATCCTCTTGGCTCAGACAACCACACGACGAAATAAAGTGAGGGATTTATATATGTTCCGGACTTCCCGCTAGCACGCCTCACTCCTAACTGCATAAGAAATCGAACCCGAAACAAAGGCTGTGGAGGGCTTTCTAAGAAGGGCTTGGGAAAAGAACCGCTCATGTTCTTCCTACTCCGATCTCGTTTGGTTTTAACACTATACGAACTATCTGGCTCTCTTTCCTTAAATCGATTACTAAAATATGGATTTAAGCCCCTGGACTAGTAAGGGACTACGAGCAACTCCTACTATCCATACCAGAAAGAGGTTTCAGCATCCTCATATGCTTCCTAGCCGGAAAATACAAACCTTTGTGAAGCTAGGAAGAAAAAAAAGAAGACCGCCCGAGAAGAAAGAGCAAGAAGGATTGAAATCATTAACTTCTTTCCCTTTTTTAAACATATGAAAGCTTGACTTTCTTCTTTCTGGCGTGACTGCTTTCTCTTTTATTTTAAAAAGCAGCTTGGCAGTCTTCGTTCCACTCCCCTGTCTTTACTTTATCTCTCTCCGAACAAGTTTTAATATTGGCTCGCAAGTAGCGGTCAGTTGAGAAATGAAGCGAGCGATATCCTTTTTGCTTCTTAGGAAACTTCTTACTTCGGTGGCATTTCCTGGAAGAAAAAAAGCCCTACTCCTACTGCTTGCCTTCCCCTTCGAAAGGACCAGGGTAGTCTCTTTATACGACGCTCTTCTTCGCATCTCGAAAGAAATGTTTGAAGAAAAGCGCTACACACTTCTTATGTTACAGAATGGATAATGGATTGTCAATCAGTTTAGGGCTAGGGACTTCCTCATTACTGTAAGAAAGGTTTTAGTCAGCCTTCTACTTGAGACTATCCTAGGATGAGAGCGTTAAGGGATAGGATCTCTGACTGCCATGAATTGGAAGTAATAGATGCTTTTCGATAGCAAAAGTTCAATGATGATAGATATGCCCTAGTCCCCTCCTCTGGTGCTTTGAGATAGTTTTATATGACACCATAGAGGAACTCTTGAAGGGACCTTAAATTAAAGGGCCCAAAGAAGCGCAGAGCGATTCAAGGTAGGGAATCTTTCTTTTTCTTATTTATTAGCCTCACGGACGAGGTCTTCTGAGCTCCTCCTTTTCTTTTGTAACTGTCGAATTCCATCCTTTAGAAAGAGCTATCCGTTTTGTTCTAATTGGAATCCTCTCATCCCAGGCGCTAGAGTCAGCGAAAGCCAAAGCCTTATTTCGGGAAATAGAAAGAACATATAGACTCTATTGTGCTCCTCAAGGAATGGACATGCAAAAGGAATTTCTATCCGTAGAAACATTGCCCTAGTTTGATGAATCCTAGATGCATCAAATCGTCTTTTATTAGTAGCTCTACTAGGATCTTTCCGACTAAGACTAATGAATTCCTCAGAGTGCTTGAATACTTCGACGGTACCTAGCTTAGCCTTACTCCGCTTAGAGAGACTGGAAATCGTAGTCTCCATTCAATCATATTGGCTCGATCAAACTCGAAATATCATAAGAGAAGAAAGCTGTTAGCCCTACCCTAAAGAAGGATACTATTCTTTTTCCGGATCATCCTTAATAAGAACTGCATTTCTACCGAACTCTTTTGATGCTTAATCTCTTTTTCTTATCTTCTAATCTCCTTTTGTTGTGTGTGTAAGTGGATTCTTGCTTTGACTGTGTCCCCTCTGAATTCAAGTAAGCTTTTTTCTATCTTCCCTGGGTATGTCAATGTTGCCCATTAGCTCTCCTCAGCGAGTTCATGCTTTTCCTCTTGTATAACCATTCCCTACGCCCGCAGGACGTATTCCGTCTAAGCGAGGGTAAAAAGCATTTGCCTATGGCTTGCTTATTGGTGTAAGGACCATTGCTGCATCGGCTTATTCGTCTAAGGTCTATCTTCTTTTTGCTTGATCTTTTGTAAGAGCCTTCCCGCCGAAAGTACTCATTTTTTCTTTGTTCGCTCAGTGATTGAAGTTGCTCTCCTATCCTTTAGTGAAAAAAGGGCCATTGACTTTGTCTCTCTCTTGGTCTGGTCTCATTCCAGTAGT